TTGATTGACACACTTGAATAATATAGCTTTCGTATTGTTTTTTCACCCCAGCGCGGTTTAGACATATATCTACTTGGCAACCGTATGCGCAGGAGTGATTTAAGTGTATATTTGTATTTTTGTTGATTCCTCCAATAATTTTAATTTATCCGGAAAAATGTTGGGGATTTATTTGGTAAAGAATAATGGTATAAAAAGAATTGGAGAAGTCCCTGACTAGTTTTCCTTGTACGATTGTTGATCGAGAAAATGTCGCTAAAGATCAATAATGCTTGTTCAGAGCTAATGAGTCTCACCTAATTCTCAGATGTCTCATTTCCGCATTCGACATTGTGAAAGACTCGAGCGTCTATCGTATGTGTCCCCTCATAATTGAGTATTATCACAGCATCAATGCGGACTTTTTGTTTGTGAAGAGTCATTAATGGTGTCATCACCTCGATGATTAGGTATAAAAAGAATGACACATTTAGGTCACTTGCAATTGACCGTAACAAAAAGAAAATACCATTATTTCATTTGATTATGAATCACAGAAATAATTCAATCTTCAGAACAATCATAGTCAAATGAGGAGATAAACTATCATTATTAGTACTGAATTAGCTGTTTTGTTTATTCTTCACTTAATTCATTAATAGCAAATTATTGATCGAGTACGTTGGAAAACAAATAAGGAATTGCTCCATTATTCACAGTACTATACCAGCTATATGATAATGTTTCTTCAAATAAAATGATTCATATTTTTCTTATATAGCCCTCGTATGAACAGAAGAGCAATCGATCTCAAAATATCTCGAAATATCTCGAAATTCTGGAGGAAACCGACCTCCCACCGCGGCGTCGTAGCAAAATTCTGAAAATTCGAAAAAAGCCAAAAATTCCAGAAACGTGAAAATTTGGAAATCATTTCAGAAACTAAGCGAGATTACAAATTATTGAACAAATTGTGCCTAAGGGGCGAGGGCCGGCAAGATTTTGAAAATGCAAAAAATGGCGAAGCGTTAGAAAATTGCGAAAATTTGGGAATCATTGCGGAAATCAAAGGAGATTGCAAATTATCGAATAAATCTTGCCTGAAGGGGCGGGTGATCCGAAATATCTCGAATGATCGTAAGAGTATGAC